TAAGACAATCTTCAAAACCTGTACCTGTATAAATATGATGAAATACAGCTTAATCCTGGAAATACTATTCCGTAATACTTTTAAAATTCTACTAAAAATATCAATAAAATATTATTTCTATAACCGAGCACAGTTTAAGATTAAGCCTGGAACGATATTTTATAACTTACACCATTATCACGTCTTTAAATGTTTGATTTTTATATAATTTAAACGTATTTCTACATCTGTAACATTATTCTTTCAAGATTTTACTAAAAATATCAATAAAATATTATTTCTATAACCTAAAAACACTTCTAACATTACCAATTTATTAATAGATCAAATTATATTACTTTATGTAAACTATAGCCCCAGTTATCTTTATAATAATGGAACAAGTCATTGAAAACTCTTTTTTACCCCTTAGCATATTGGAATTTTCAGTAAGGCTAATGATGTCTGGAAGCTACATATGTGAACTATCGCCATATGGCAGCGCTTAGAGCGAAGCAAAGATTTACGCAGATTCCGAAACCCGCCTGCCTAATAATTCCCAATTCCCCCTTCCCATTTGCATACAACACAAGGCACCGGAAATCCGTGCTGTTGGCCTGGCCAGCATGGAACTGAAGATAATGACACCGCCATGACCGAAGGCAATAAAACTGGCCGACATTCGCTCCAAGAGCTTCACTCCACACAGATTGGCATATTGTTCGGCACGTGTCCGGACCACGCACTTGGCCAAATTGCTTTATGGCCACTAGACTGTGGGCCACCATTCACCATGCCCAACGGCGTATTTACGAGATATTCAAGGGATATATCCCATTATAATGGCAGGGAAATGCGAAATGGGAAATGGGCGGAACCACCCGGCGTATGAGTAATGCGTGTGTGCACAACATTTTTGCGGCCCAAGGACGCAATGTGATTTTTGGCAAGCCGAAAAGCGAATGCGAAATTAAATAGCCAAAGAGACAAAAGGGGAAAAGTCGGGGGAAAAACAAGGAAGGAGGGAAACACCATGCTGGTGTCATTATTAGCCGCTTTTCCCAGAAAAAGAAAAAAAGGAAAACAAAGGCGAAATGCAAAATAATGATGCGTGCCAACAAAAGAATGTGTTGCATACTTTCTTGCGCGGCGCCTTGGAATTTCGCGGGGAAATGTAAATGAAAATCAAAAGAAAAACTAGTGTAAAAGCTGCTGCTGCTACTGCTGCAAAAACAAAAGTGACAAGTCTGGCACATTAGCGACGACAACTTGTCTGCAATGTCGCTCGCAACGCGATAATTAAATTATGGGTCACAAAACAAAAGAAAAGACGACGATGAAAGGGGATTTTCACGCTAAAATCGCGATAATTCTGAAATTAGATACTCAATTACAACACTAATCAACAAATGTTGTTTATCTTAAATATTTTAAAGAAGGGATTTAGAACTTGGAAATTGAAAAACCTTTTATCCTTATTCTTACTTCTGATTATATTGAAATTTTCGAGATATTATGTAAATATTAAATCTATAATAACAAATGTTACAAAAAAAAATTTTTAATTCCTTTAAAAATTATAATAAATTGTTCCAGGAAAACAAAACTATGATGATACCCCTATGATAAACCTAAGCAATTTAAAAATTTTGTAATGTTAAGTGTTATAAAAGTTTTTTTTGATACAGAATTCATAAGTTCTTACAAACTTACTCACAAACTTTATCCTATAGAAAACAATCAATAAATTTCCCATTTTATTCAATCTAATGTGTTTATTTTCGTTTCGATAATCGTGACTTGATATCGTTGTTAAAAACAATGACACAAGAAATGAGTCAGAGATGTAAAGGGAAAGCTGACAGACTAAAAATAAACTTAGTAGACAAATAATAAAAGCATGCAAGCCCCATCCAAACATCCGAGAGAACCTCTAAAAAAAAAGTGATATAACTAAATTTAGCGACATAAACAAAGAAAATTGTTAGGAAAAAAACATTGAAGGAACTCAGGAAATTTCCGTGAAATTCTGTAAACAAAATGGGAAAGAGATGCCTCCCCAGCAGACAACAAATTCGAGTATAATCAATCGATAGTTATTTTATTTTCTGTTTTTTTTTCAGCTTTTATAGTTTGACAGACTCTGCCACATTTTCCTCCTACATTTTCGATACAATTTTCATGTTTCGTGCACTTGTCGCATAATAAAAAGCGGAAGAACAAAAGCAAAAACCTTTCACGAATCGTTAGACAATAAAAAAGTTGATGGAAATAAAATTAAGCCTGTCTCTGTTTTCTTTTCAAGATGAATGGAGTGGTTGCGAGGGGCGGTACTTTTTTTGGAGGAGGCTTTTAGTTGGTGCGTCAATAAAGTTGAGCAAAAATATTTGCACAGCGTTCAACCGACAAACAAACGGCGCTTTTTCTTTTGTTGCTCCGTTGTTTTATGGGCCATAAACAAAGGCCCAAATTGAATGTTTGGGCGATTGAAACCCACGGAGAGATGGAAGAGCTGAACTGGCCAACAACAGCTGGTCTTCTGGAGACCCCATTAAAGATGACCATATACACAGAACCAGTTGCTGGCTCGGTTTTTCACTGTGAACCAAAACATTCTAACGTCACGAAAAGGCATGGTGAGAAATGGTTTAAATTATGGCCACAAATCATGAAGTAATACGATTTAATAGCCCTAAATGTCAGCCATTAGGTTTATAAAAAAAGGGAATACAAATTGCTATAAATAAATTATTTGGAAGGAGGTGTTCTTGATTTTACAAGATTTTAATTTGTCAATCTTATTGTTATTTTATTATTATTATTTATTTCAATTAAATTCAGGATTCAATTAAATTATTGGAATATTAATAATATATCAAAATATAAATCGAATATATCGATATTTTAGAGTGATATATCGATACAATATTTCTTAAAACATTCGACAACTCTACAAAATATCGCCCTATTACAACTTTAAGTACAATCATTTAAGATCATATTTCCGGTTTCTAGCAAGGTGTATCCGAATCCCTCTGTTTTTGGGCAAAAAATGAATACATATAAACAGACAGATTAGAGTCCCGACCTCTGAGGTCTCCAATTTCGTCTGAGCCTCTCTTGTTTACGCAAAAAACGACCCAAAACGGTGGAGGGGGAACAGGAGTGGAGGCAAAAAGGAGTGAGTTGGTAAACCAGTTCTCAATTGCACTCGACCAGAACGGACACCCAGCATAAGAAAAGGAAACGGAGGATGAGGATGAGGAGGAAAAACAGTGAGTGGTAGGGCCATCAACAGGTAACCCAGTGCACCTACAGCTACACCATCCAGTACAGAAGTTGCCATCATATTGTACCATTGTGCCTTGGTATCATCGTATCATCATATCACCCGAGTCAATGTGTTTCCGTCAGCTGCCGTTGGCCTCTCTCGGCTTCGAAAGAGCTGCTATTGTGTTGATATTGTGCTGCAGTTCTGGTTCCCTGTTGTGTTTTGACGCCAGCGAAGAGTTGATCGGACTGAATTTTCGGCTCTGCAAACGGGTTTAAGAGTGCATCCATATCAATCCAGCCATCCATCCTGCCCAGACAAACCCCCTCTCCAAAATATTTCCTCAGGCTTTCCAAACGTTGTTATATTACCTTTCAGTTAGTAGTGGTTTGATTTGGCTTTGGATAAGATTGGTTTATACTTTAGAGAATTTTTGGGAATATTTTTTTATCCTAAATAGGTTTTAGTTTGGTTATTCTTGAATTCTTCGAAATGGAAATTTTAAGGCAGAAGTTTCTGAATCTATGTTGTAATTCATTAATATTGAATATCTTATGGATTGTTCCATAAAGTATTATATCTTCTTCAGGCATTTAAAGTTAATTTCTTATAACTGTTTATACGGTAAATAGAAAATCCTGTAAGTTTTGCGAGATCATCCTATAATAATAATATATTCATGGGTCTAACTTTTCCAAAAGTCGCTCTATAAAAGTGTTTTATTACATTACTGTAAAGCCACCCTAAAAAAAAGAGTATCCCATGGTTCAGCGGCCTTAAGAAACCTTCCTTTATTGTCTCATTGTTTTGGTTTTGGCAAAGGGACGTGGGAAGGGGAAATCGAGGAAGTGGTTTTTCCTGCCGTACCTGTATGAGTTTCCCTGCCTCGGCCTCTCTGTTTTCTGTATTCCCACCTCGTTCGCAGGACAAAGAAAATGCAAGAGAATGCAGAGTGTGGAACTTGTTCCTGATCCCAGAGGGGTTGCAAGGAGCAGAAAATGGGAATCCGAATCCGAGAGTTTCCAGGAATATAAAAAAGCAGCAAAGGAAAACGATAATCGATGGCATCGAAGCGAGGAATGCACGTAATTAAAGGGAAGTGGATAGATTGTTCTGGGGTAGATTGATTACGCCGAGATTCTCGGTCCAGAGGAGCTCCGTTCCATTCCCGTTCCCGTCCCTAAACCCCCCTTCATTCGCCTCCTTTGTTCCTTGGTCACGTCCATGTAATTGCCAATAATCACAATATGCGCTTCGGTAAGAAAATTCAATTTACATGCCGCCAGTGGAGCGAAAAAAAAGCGAGAGAGAGCGGCAGAGAATTGAATTACAGGATGACCCCGGTGAGAACGCTTATGAAATATGCCAAAGGTGACTTTCAATTAAATGCCACCCAGCCAGTGGCGTGCCAAGGACTTGAAAGAGGGGTAGGTTAGACAAAAAATACTATATTTAAACTTGTAAAGGGCACTAAATTTATTTATAACTAATAATGAAAGGGTTTTTAATAAATTAAAAATCTTTAAAGTTTATAAAAACAGTTATCCTGTAGAAAATTTCATATTTGTCGTAGTTATGGTGGTATATAATTCCAACAAAAATATTATTATAATAACTGGTTCAGTGGGGGTAAGAGACCCCCAGAACCCCAACCCCCCTCGCCTACGCCCCTACCACCAGCTGTGCGCCTCTCTTTCGTTCCCTGTGTTTGTTGTGTTTGATTTCTTTGCTTGGCTTTGTTTTTGCTTACCTGCCGGGAAGAAATTGTTCAAGAACGTTGACATTTTTCTCTCTCGCTCCCGCCTTCACCTCTTCCTCCTTCTTTCTCTCTCTCGCTCGTTCTTCTCTTCCCGTTTGTTTCGTTACGCTTTGTTTTTGTTTTCGTTAAAATATGCACTGAGTAAAAAAAACTTTTTTCTTGTTTTTGCTTCTTTTTTTCGCTTTTTTTCGTTTTTTTTCCGATTTTTTTCTTAGTTTTTTAAATTATTTTGTAGAAAATATTGAAACAAAAATTTAAATAATACATACAATCCGCGCTTAACTGCTAAATTTCACATTACACATTTTCACATCGTACGTTTCGAATATTATTTTATTTTTTTTTTTTTTTTTTAGTTTTTCACGAAAGTTTTTTGCTGTTGAAATGCATTTTCGGGCAAATGATTAACAACTGAGGCGCGTCGACTGCAAAAAGGCGAGAAAGAGAAGAATTTTTTAGATTAAAAAACAAATAATGGTAAATGGTAATATGGAAGCCATTTGTTTGTTTTTGCAAAAAGGTCGACCAAATGGAATCCCCAAAAAGCAACAGTGAGTGGGAGTGAGAGGGGTGTAGATGTGGAGCTGGGATTTCATTTATTTTCCAAAATGATTGCGTGTATGTGTGGGTGTAGGGGGACGCTTTTTCACACATATACAGACACAATTGCGCGCATATTTGTTTTACATTTTCCACACTTTTTTCGCACTTTGTTTTTAGCATATTTTTAGAGTTTTATATTTAACACACAAGCAGAAGAACACATACACACCGAACCTAAGCCAACATATTGGAAAGGGAATTCCCTGTTTCATTGGCAGAAAACTATCCTTTTCGTACAGTAGTCATTAATTTGAGTCTTCAGTTTTCCCCGTGAGAAAGTTTTTATATATATAACATTTTTTCATTACCATTTCTTAACGATTTTGCAAATAAGAAAAACTCAACACACACACACCGCGCGATTGGCGCTGCACGAATGAAGAAAACGCAAAGAAGATCCAACAGCCAAGCCAAATGGAGTCCACAAACGACCCCCGAGTGCTGTATGTATGTATGTATTCTGTTTGCGTGTGTGTGGACAGGAGCTCGGGCGAAAACAACAACAATTGCCAGCTGTGTGTGCAACACAGTGGATGTGGATCCCATTCGAGGAGTGGTGGGAAAATGTTAGCACTCAAGGGGTTACATGGACTTTACAGTCTTTGAAAGGTATTAAAATGCAAGTAATAGTTTACAAATAAAATCGAAAATACCCATCAAATAATATTTTACTTTTACTTGTACACTCTATTGATTTTTAAATTAACTTCAATAGAAATTCTGTAGAAATATGTCAGAACTTAAAGGGTTAATATGGGTTCTGCACCTTTTTAAATTTATAAAAACTCAAATATCATATCATAACTGAAACCTTAAAATCTCTCAAAAAATGTTTATTTATTTGAACAATATATTGACAATTTAACTTGTTAAATATTAAAGAAGGTAATTTTTCATTCAATTTACATATTAGTTTTGTAAGATGTTATGTTTTATTAGAATTAAAAAAAAACACATTTATTTCGACATGGCAAAACCCAAGTAACTCCTTGAGTGGCCAGGATATTTTGCAGAAGCCCTAGCAATTGGCGTTGTTATACACACAGGCATACATATAGAATATATATGTATGTATATTTAACTGGGGGGAGTTCAACAGGACCCAACAGCTGGCCACAGGTTGCATTCCACATAGAGAAATGTAAAAGCCCGAGCCCCAAACAAGATCCACACTCCAGCCATATTTGTGGAACGCGACAAACAGCTGGCTAGGAAGGGGGGAAGAGGAAGAGAGCAGAAGGTGGAGGTGGAGAATGAGAGGAGGCAAAGGTAAAGGTAAAAAGGAGTAAAGGAAAGATATTAAATATTTTAAAAAACGTGAAGCTTTAACTGCAGCAACAAAAACCAAAACCATTAATTTTTTACTTAAAATAGATAGAAATATTTTGGTAAATTCACTAGACAAAAGGGGTATTTTAATTTAATTTAAAGTTATTTTAACTTTTCTGATTTTTTTATAATTTATAGATGTTTATTGCTTTAGTTCTACATCCTGAATGACCTTTGTTTTTTAAACAATTTTTATGACTGTCTATACCAAAATATAAAGCCATTTCTACCACCATTTCCTTAAGACGCAATTTGTCCAAAATGCGTTTACCCAAACTAATCACTTAACATAAATACATACTTTTAAAGTTTTTTCTTTTTTTAACAAACAAAAGTTTATGTTTTCTGTTGTCTTTTTTTGTTATTCTTTTAATTGCTGCCGCTGTTGCACACACACACACTGGCACAAGAATGCCACACACAGACACACCGACGCGAATTTGTGCCTGACAAATTGGGCTTTTTCACAGGTAATTACATGGCTTTTCTTCCACTCGCCGCTCACGCAAGGCTCACTGGCTATTTAAACAAATAATTAACTTCCTTTGCCCTCTTATTGTGCACAATTTACAGCTAAAATCGAAAAACTTAATGCTTACATTTTTTTTGCTTGTTGTTTTTTTTTAATCAGTATGACCCTTGCGCCGATAACAGCAGAACGTATGTGTTTTTTGTAGCTAGCATCTTTGGCGGGTGGGAAACTCTGCTTCCGCGGAGTATGGTCACACTAAAGTATTCGCAGGGTTAGCCGAGTTTCAGCAGAGACACGACCCATTTAACAGAATTCTGTTGTCAATAGATTTAACATTAGTGAAGTGCGATGTTATATCAATCGATATCGTGCCCATAACACTACGTGTTATGTAACTACGTAAGTTTATTTTATGCTTTTATGCTGGCTCTCTCAGAGAGTAACAGAGAAAGAGGAACAGGAGAAAGCGGAGACACGACCCACTTAACAGGAACACTAACAGCGAATACTTTAACATTGGATGTGAAATTATGGAACCCTTTGGAATTAGCCCTGCCCACCTCTATCCCCATCAAAATCATAAATTACCTTACGTACTACGTAAGCATTTAGGTTTATGCCGTAAGTGTAATTTATGCTGGCTTTCTCAGAGAGCGGAGTTTCAGCAGAGACACGACCCATTTAACAGGAAAGACCTAACAGAACTCTGTTGTCAACGGTAAATTTAACATTAGTGAAGTGCCATTCCGATTTTCGATATTTTTATCGAGACCCTTTCCCATCTCTACTCCCACACAAAAGAGAAAATTCAAAACAAAAAAAATTTTTCTGGCGAGCGGACGTGTAGCGGACGAAAGTTTGAGCACCGAAACAGAACGGAAGAAGAGAACAGGACAGAACGAGACGGACAGCGGGGAAAGGTGGCCAGGCAAAGAAAGTGCCATATGAACTGAGTGTGCGAGCGAGCGAGCGAGAGAGAGAGCAACTGAGTGTGTGTGTGCCTGTGTAGTTCAGTGTGCGTAGTTGTGTGGGAGTTTTGTGTACGAAGCGAGTGGCAGGCAAAACACAACAAACATAATTCCAAGGAAATTTCCAGTCGTCATGTCGGTGGAATCCTCCAGCTCGGCGATCCAGCAGCCGCCGTCGTCCTCGACCCTGCCGCTCCTGGGCGACAACCAGGTGGTGGCCACGACCAGCAGCAGTTCCGCCTCCTCGGCCTCCGCCTCCTCCTCCTCCTCGTCCTCCTCCTCCTCGGGGGGCGTTGGCAGTGTGGTGGGCGTGCCGCTGGACACGCAGAGCAGCGGCGAGCCGCCGGCCAAGAAACAGTTACTGGACGGTGGGGCCACCAGCAGCAGCGGCAGTTTGCTTTCCAGTGCAGCGGCTGCATCGGGAATGCACGAGAAGCTGGCCCATCGCATCTCCAATGCCCTGTGCTGCGCCGTCTGCCTGGATTTGCCCAAGACGGCCATGTACCAGGTGAGTTTTTGGGGTTTTATTAAAGGCGAATTAAAGAAAATCTTAAAAAAAAAGGAATATGTGTGTGTGCCTCATTCTGTATACAAACAAATCGTGGCAGCTCAGCTGTAAGAGTGAAACACCTCTCTCCCCCACCAGCACACAGCTGTGCGAGAGCGAGACAGCTGCATTATTCGCCTTGAAAACATTCGAAAGAGTGCGCGGGGGGCGGGGGAGGGAGAGGAAGGGCCAACATAAGCAGGCCGCCTCTCTCGCACTCCCAGCCAACTAATGCAGTTTTATTGCGTTTTAGAAAACAACCCCCCGAATTGAACCGTTGCATTTCACACTATGAATTATGGCCCCCCCTCGCTGCCTCTCCCTCCCCCTCTCTCACTCTCTTTTGCGCAGTAACATTTACTTAACTGCAGATTTTCTGTATTGCGTCATAGAAGTCTTCCCCCTTGGCCTATTTTAAGTGGCAACAATTCGACAGAGATTCCTTCAAAAGTTTTTCCTATTTTTTATTTATTCAGTTCTTGGACAAATTCCCGCATTCCTTTTCATTCACACTTATGTATGTATGTTTATATGTAGGCGGCGTCATTGTTGCTGTAACTGACGTTGATTGAATTTAATGCACAAATACACAGATGTCTCAAAGAACAAAGGCAGGGGCGTAGGCTGAAAGGCCTAAAAGGGGGTTAAAGATGATTCATTCATAATTACCGCTAATTATAATAAAGTTTATTGATTTATTTGTATCCAAGCCCTAACAATGGTAACTAAACTTTTAAGGGGGCAACCTAAACCCCCAACCCCCTGCCTCCACCACTGAGCCAACAGATCTTTTACGTAAGGCGTGTGTGTAGGTTGACATTGCTCTCTTTTTCTAACACACATGTGCCAAGGCAGCCGCAACTGCGTCATTGAAATTGGTTTTGTATTACGGTTTAAAGAAAAATAACTGCTGACCCACACAGAAATATCGAATTCTGTACCCTAAAAAACGTGACCAAAGCGGAAAAAGTGAATCATACAAAATGGCCAGCAGGAGTTCGCCAGAAACCCGCAGAAACTATTAATTAGCTGCTAAAAAAAAACCCTGATTGTTTTCCTTTTTTGCATTATTTCCTGCTTATCTGTATGTATGTGCACCGTGCACACACCCACACGCACATTGTGATTTTTGCTCTCTGTTATTGTTTTGCTTTTGCCACTGCGTTGCTCTCTTGTTGTCTCGCTCTCGCCCACGTCGTGGCAAAATCAGCTGTTCGAGGCCTGGGGAAAACTGAAACGAACTTTTTGCCGTTTTTAAATAGTAAAAAGAAATACTAAGGAAAAACGAATGTGCTACGCATATTTGTTATTGGAAATGCAATGCCACGGAAGATTTTGATGAATTTGTAAAATCAGCTTGCTGCAGGTTTTAGGACCTGTAATCTGGAACAAACTCGTTTTTCCAGTTTGGGTTCTAAGTGTATTTATTAGGGGTACATAGGTGTGTGTGTCTGTATTTGTGTGGGGAAAGGAACACACATACATACAAATAGCTGAAAACACACCTGAGTTTTTTGTCGTCGTCGTCGATCTTTTCTTTTACCTACGCTGTTGACGTTCTCTTCCTCTTTCCACTCTCTATCTACAAAAACACCATCAGCTGGGTTTTGTTGTGTCTGCTCTTTTCGGTTTTCAGTGTGTTATTGTTATCTTTGAAGGGGGGAAAAACGAGTTAAACTCCTTTGTGGATCGGATCCCGAGGATTTTCCATTAAACAATCGCATTTCGAGCAGCTGCTGCCTGCAGTTAGTCTAGGTCATAAATTGCCAATCAAAGAACACGAATTCACGGGTTCATTCAACTGCAAAGAAACAGTAAGACTCTCGAATACTCAGATGTCGGAGCAGATACACAAAGAACACGGAAAAAAATTGGATTACAATAGTAAAAAAACATATAGGGGTCCGAAAACCTAAATTCAATACTGAAGATTTGTATTTACTAATTGAAAAACTTTCCAAAAGTCAACATAACATAGCATTATCAGAACCCAACCCTAATATTACTCACTACTTAAATATTTCCATCGTATAAGAAAAAAAATATATTTTGGGGGAGTAATTTTGTACTTTCTGTTCAGGGTTTCATATCTCTTCGGTCTAGACTTCAGACAAAGGAACCACGATATCTGTTTTTATTTTTGCTTACTTAAGATTTCTGTGACGCGATCCTCGAGACTATCAAAATTTTGTTATGTGCACACAAGATACACAAGAAAACCATTGCTTATCGCTCAGAACTCGGATCTCGCGGCTCTGTCCCAACTGAATATTTCCCAAAATAGATCTAGAAATTCCAAAATGAGGGAAACAGGCCCGCATTCCACACTCCACACACAACCGAATTGTAAATAAACGCATGCGGCGATTTAATGAAGGTTCCTTACAGCGGCGGGGGTTAATTTTCACTTAGGGGTTTTCCACTCACTTTATCTCGACCGTTATCGGTCCACTTTTCCCGACCTTTCATCAATTGCTTGACCAACTCATGTCCGAAAACCAATTGAAAAACACACACCACTACGTTTTAATTGGCTTTCAACGAAAAAAGAAAAAAAAAACAACATTTATATGATAACGAACGCTAAATTTAACTCAGAACTATCCAACTATTTATGATTTTGATTTAGATAAACTCTATCTCTCCTAATGATTAATCTTAGTTAAGTCAATAATCTCGATTTCGTAACCTTTGTAAGCACACGCAACCAAAAAAAAAAAGAAAACCATAAGATTGTAACTATAAATGCTAAGTACATAGAACAGATTTCATAATAGCATTAAAGTAAACCCTGAAATGTATCAAAAACCAAAAAGAAACCCCAAAAAATGAAACGAAAAACTGAATTCAATAAATTTGCAAAGGAGAGTGCAAACTTGAGAATGCAAAATAAAACCAAACTACAACATAGCGTTTTTATTTCAACCAAAAAAAAAAAGTGAACACAAACCGGAGCATCACTTCAGATCACCTCCCACCGAGAAATCCATGCCCCACCATCTCTCCTCACCCCAAAGATATCTCCAAAACAGATTCATCCACCCACCCAGAAAAAAACACCCCACACACACACCCATAAATACACCACATACAATCAAGCTCTCTGCAACAAGGCCGTATTTTGACTAACAGAAAACTTTTCTTCTTTTTTCTTTAATTGCAGGTTAATTTTCATTCCACTTTTGTTTTATTTTTCAATCTCTATCCATCTACCAGTCGATTTGCCAAGTCGTGAAATTACTAATATTGAATTTTCCTTTTTCTCTGCTCTTTTCATTTGCAGTGCCAGATGGGTCACTTGATGTGCGCCGCCTGTTTCACCCACCTGCTGGCGGATGGACGGTATGCACCCCCCTAACTATGAAAAACCCAACTAAGATCCCTGTTAAATGCTGCTAATAACTCTTACTAACTAGTTTTATGCATTTATTTCTTGTAAATATTTTTAAACATATTTTATCTCTAGCCTGCGCGATCAAATTGCCACTTGCCCCAATTGTCGCGTGGAAATATCAAAGAGCACTGCTTCGCGTAACTTGGCGGTGGAGAAGGCCGCCTCCGAGTTGCCCAGCGAGTGCCAGGTGATTAAATGTATAATATTTATTGAATTTGATATTAATTACTTAATTTTAAACTATAGTTTTGCAACAAGGAGTTCCCTTACAAATCACTCGAACGCCATGAACAACACGAGTGCCAGGAGCGGCCCACCAAATGCAAATATCATCGCATTGGCTGCCAGTGGCGTGGACCCTTCCATGAGAGTGAGTGATCCTCTTCGAATATATATAACTAATTACCCCTTTAATGATAAAAATCTATTTTATTATTAGCTAACGAGCATGAGCGCAACTGCTTGCACCCTCAGAAGTCTGGCTACGAGGTAATGGCCGCCCTGGAGGCTCACGATGACAGGATCAAGGAGGAGAAAAAGATGTTCAACACCCTGATTGACTTGCTTAGCTACGAGAAGATCATATTCAATGGTGAGGGACCCGTGGGTTATTAGGTTTTCATTGAAATTGAGATTAATTGTTCATGGTTATTGGCGCAGAACTCATAATTATATGCGGGCAGTAAAATGGTTTTTAAAAAAGAATTGTCTAATATTCATCTATCAATTAATTTAAATTTGTATTCTACATCTATTCTACTTTCTATATATATAATACTTTTCAAAAAGAATTGTGTACAATTTATCCATCAATTAATTATAATATTTATTCTATTTTTAAAAAAGAACTGAGAAGTATTTATCCAAAAATTTGTTTTAATTTGTATTCTACATTTTTTCTACTTTCAAAAAATAATTGTATAATATTTCTCCATCAATTTAATATATTTTTTAATCCATTTTAATTCTATTTTTTTGCAGATCTTCAAATGAAACCCTACCGAACGGACGAGTATGTGCACAAGCTGTTCTATGAGACGGCTCGGTTCTCGGCCTTCAATCAGCAGTGGGTGGTGAAGGCGCGCATCAACAATAGCCAGCGCGATCCGCACCAATCTAATGAGCGGACCATCACCTATCAGCTGATCCTGAAGACCAAGACCAGCACGCCCATGAGCATACATTTCTTTGCGCTCAAGGGTCCGTTCTCGGACATGAAAGTCTCCACGCAGATCTACAAGCACGAGTTCACCGAGACGGTGAGTTATTCATGTTTATAATGAATAAGTTTTAATTATTTATTTACCCTTTCAGAGTACCGAGAGTGAGTATTATGTTTTGCCTTTACCAGACGGTATCGGCGGTAGCGGCTCAAGTGAATGCAACCGTATGCTGGCCAACAAAGGCATTAACTTCCGGTGAGTAGTAGCCTTCGATTGGCGTCTGGAATTCGAAGCTAACTAAACAATCTCCCCTTCTCATTGCAGCCTGCTCATGTTTCTGCTGAACAAGTAAACAGTGTTCGCTGTGTGCAGACGATAAAGATTTTCAAATTAGCTTAAGTTTGTTGTTTCAAACTCTTGAATGTGCAAAACCTAGACATAGTTGATTTATATTTTCTATAAATGTATATGTATAACTTCGATACGGAAGCCCCGAGAACCCAAAAAACCGAATAACCGATAAAAACCCGTTCGCCGTAACGTCATAATATATATTTCAATCAAATTCAAGATCACGCAGACGTAACGCGGTAGGTTGTAACCTAAGTTTAGAGTGTAGTTTCGCCTACATTTTGTACATGAGATAATGCCATTTTATGGAGACACCCCTTTCAAATAGCTATGTTAATTTTGCTGTTAGTGCTGGTGGCGAAATGGAATCGATTGATGGACAAGGACAAGACAGCAGACGTGTGTGTTTGACTAACGTTAAAATGATCTCAGAACAGGAAGGAGCCAACAGCCCACGCTAACCCGATAATACCGATAATAACCATATAATAGCTGTAGATTAACTGTCCGGACGCAGGGACCTCGAGTCCACGGCTCCGTTTTCACTGTAAGAAGAACAACACCAAGTTGAAATTCGAACCCTAGGCGCGCATATATAACGCTCTATTTGATATATAATGTAGCTATAGATTACTACGATCACATAGCCCGGGCCGAAGTAAGAACACCCAAAAGAAAAACTAATGCAAAAATATAAAGAACTCGCGAGTCCTCACGTTCAAATCTTGTCTAATCCTCGTTCTGTTGACCCTCTTACGATTTAATGCTTACAACTTACATTCGTACATGTAATATTTATATGCATCGTTAAATGATAACTATAACTAATGCATATATAATAAAGATACTTCTTAATAAATCAAATTTTGGCGGTTTCTTTGAGGGGATGGGAAGGTTATAAATAAGCATTATTTTTTATTGTTGAGGAGGATTGGAAACACTCGATTTTTTAACTTGAAGCATATAAAACATGTATTTTAATAAATTATTATTACAACTAATATAATAACATAATTTATTTTATATTAATTGCTTTCAAATATTTTTATTGCCTGAACAAGAATTTTTGAAAAATTCATAGGTCATAATTAAAAATCTTCTCAATTTTATATATTCTACCATTTTGTAATGAAACTGGTTTAGAATGCTAATAGAAATAAAAGGCGTAATGTTTTTGATGTTAAGTCAAAGCTATTCGTATATTTAAGATGATTTCTAAAATTAAGGACATGTGTTTATTTTTATATTTTTTGAGGCACTCAACAGGTGAAACATTTTTTGTTATCTTTTCATAGTCATATGGATCTATATTTTGTATTTAGAAAATATTTCTTAAAAAATACATTTTTAAAATAGGTCCTATTCATCGTCATCCTCCTCCATCGCCTGGTATTTGTTTCGCACATGGGAGGCGATGACTTCGCGGGGATTCTTCTTGAAGTTTTTGTCCTTGATGAGCTTCTCGAAGGACTTGACGCGGCTGACCATATCGGTGCGCTTCTTGCGGATCTTCTCGTTGGCAGTCAGAGGAGCCTCCGGTTCGGTGAGGACTGCCTGTTCGGCGGTGGCATCCTTTTGCCTGGTCTTCACCAGGTTGTAGATGTCCTGCAGGGAGGGCAGTGCATCCCGAAGTGGCTTCAGATCCCCAATAACCCTGGTCTTCTCCCGATTCTTGCGCGCCTGCTCCTCCTTGCGCTCCTTTCGCGTGTCGGCGAAGCGTTTGAGGAGCTTCTTGTGTTTCGCCTCCGATTTCTCCTTCTTGGTGGTCGTCTTCTTGGGCGTCAGGGTCTTGTGGAGCAACCGATCCTGGCGCAGCTTTGCCTGCACCTCCTGCGCCTTCTGCTTGGCCGCCCCCACCACGCTCTTCGCCTTGGCCCTCACATTTCGCTTGGTTTTTGCCATTTTAAAGGGGGTTTTCCTGCGCCAACAAAATCAAAATCAAAACAAACGTGCTAAGACTAGGGATGTGAAAAATATATCGATATTTTTTGAATAAAAATAAATATTTATATTGCGATATATCGAATATGATAAATCGAATATCGCAATTTTTTAAAATATATTCTTGACCTTTCGAAAATCGAACTGATCTAAATCGAAGTCGCCAAAAGTACAAGATGAGCGACTTTAAGGCTATTGTAGGACTACACAAATTAAAGATTTCTTGAGGAGCATAATATTCAACAATAAAAAACCCGAAAAACAGCAAAATTGTCATGGTTGTTTTGTTACAAAATTTTACCAAAGGTTTTTATTTTATTTGGCATACTAAGAACCCCTTTGGATAAATGGAACAATTTCTAGCTGTTCACAGTTAAAATTTCAAATACAACTGCATTAAGGACATAGAAAACCTTTATTTACGCCGATTATTTGTGGTTCTCGGAGCGATTGGACGCTGCTTCTGCCGTCCTCCCCGAATTCTGTTGGAACAGGGAACTGGTTATTCGAATATCTGTCTTATTTATAGAGGACATACCTCTCCATTAACAGTTGAAGGGTGCTGCGCTTAAGGATAAGCAGTATAAAAATGATAGTTCCAAAACCGGATTCAATATAGAAGGAAAAATTCACGATCTGATCATATATGCTGTTCGGTTTTAACAAAGTAAGAAAATCCAAGATCCAAAACGCACCCATGACAAAAGAAAGCCGCAAAAACATTAGATAACTGAAAAGGAAATTTAAAGTGAATATTTGAATGCTTTCAAAATTCTGAAAAGGAGTTCTTACGTCTCAGAGTCAAAATTAAAGCATTGTATAGTCCTCTCTTCATCTCGTTTAAACTTTCTCAGTTCGCTCTTAACTTTCCAAATGTGAATGACCGTCAGAATAAACATGATTATATCAAAAAGGGTTAGGGTCAGTACTGGTCCTTGGAAAAATATCCAATAAGAGGACCGCCAAACTGTAGACGAAAGGAAATATATGGCGAAGGCTTAGATAAATGTTTATTTAATTCAAACCTTCCAGACTGCATCCAGAATATCCAACTAAGGGCAACCAGTTCCATTTATGGAGATCCTCCTCCCAAATTAAATTCGCTAAATAAATAACTCCTGTTGAAATAGCAGCCATGCTCCAGGCGAAGGCACTGTATTTAAGAAACGAAGAATGCTCACTTCTATTCGTCAATAATTTCCACAAGTGGAAGCTGATCACAGAGAACCAGAGATTGTTGGCTATCCCGATGAAGTATTGACTGTAACCTGACGAAAAACCATTATTGAGATCCAATCTTAATTCAATATTAAGAACTAACCTGCTAATAGGCAAATGCGGTTTAATAAATTAAATATATCCATGGAAATAAGATTCCGAATGAGCAAGCAAAATATGGTAGAAATAATACACTTGCCGAGGACATTCCGAAGCTTTCTAACGTAAAGATATACAAACAATGTGAGGATGTTGCATGTTGCGGATATCGTCCTTACTGCAAGTACAAAAATGAAGGTAACAGCGAATATCATAAATTAATACATTTCATTACACTTGATGTCCGCTGGCCGCACATCTTCAAAGCAATTGTGTTGAACAACCCAAATGGAATTGATAATATCCGAATTAATCTTAAGATACAGACAGTAAAATTCTTTTGGCCAGATTTTCTCAATGTTTCGTAAAATTAGGGCTCCGTCCTTAAGAACAAATATTAAAAACGTGAGCAATGCCTTTTCAGATCGCATGACAAACCTTGAAAATTATGTAATCATCCTCATTAAAGCTGAGCATCTCATCGCACATTTCAAACTGATTCCACAACCTAAAATACTTGGTAATCCACCCCACGTTCTGGGTATTGTCCTCAAACGTTACGTTTATAATATGTAGAATTATATCTTTATTGAAGCCATCGTTACATGTTCCGTTCGCTAACATATTTTTTTTGGGGCAGCAGATTGGCACACACGGCATCACTTCACAGACACAGGCTCTAAGGTGAGTTTTCACAGGCTCTGTGGATCCATCTATGAACTTTCTATAATTATACTCCGCAATAAGGTTAGAGGGAATTTCAAGGCCCTGATATGTGTAAGTATCGTTGATACTTTTCCAATCCGAAATATCAACGGTATCGAAATAGTCACAATTTGGAATATCAGCTTTTGAAAGCCTGACAATAGTTATAACTACAATCGTAACGAACAATTTAACATGCAGAGACATTTTTATGATGAAACTTTTTAGCACAGAGAGGTAAACTCGACTGAGTTCCGAAATACAAGGCTTGCTGTTTTTAAAGCTTAGCTTCGAAAACTAATTACTTTACAAATCAACAGTATATAGAAGTCGACCAAAAACAATCTTAATCATGCGCATGGGAATAAATATAATTAACAAGTTTAAGACTTGTCCTTTGGGGCCCATTTTCCTTCAGACTTAAATCTTGCAATTGTATTAATAATGTAGTTTTCGCAATAAAAGGCACGATATCAATTGTATTAATAATGTAGTTTTCCTAATAAAAGGCACGATATCAACAAAATACTTCGTTTTTTACGAGATCTAATCAACAAGGGTTTACCACTAGCCAGCCTTCTAAGTATTTATACGAATTAACTCTTTATAATTCTACTTCGCAGTAAGGTTAGAAGGAATTTCGAAGGCCTGATATATATAAGTATGGTTGACTCTTTTCAGATCCGAAATATCAACGGTATCGAAATAGTCACAGTTGGGGATATCAGCGGTTGGATTCCTGACAATTGTAAAAATTACTTTTATAACGAAAAAATTAAAATGGAGATACAAAAAAAAAATCTGTAAAATATAATAAAAATAACAATCACAACTACTAAACTACAATAAGCGGGCTCAAGGCCTTTTGCTGCTATAGCTCTAAAATAAAACCACTGTTAGTTTATAGTTTTTAACTATAAGTTAGCATTAGATAATAATAATAATAATAATGATTATTAATAGATTTATTTGACATTAAACTGAATTTAAATTATAGGTACTTATTATTTTTATAGGTTGTAACAGTTTACATAAAGCGAGGGACCCTTTGGATGATTGGAACAAAATTTCAAATACAACTGCATTAAGGACACAGAAAACCTTTTTTAACGCCGATTATTTGTGGTTCTCGGGGCGATTGGACGCTGCTTCTGCCGTTTTCCTCGAATTCTGTTGAAACAAACAGTTCACTGAATTTTTGAATATATCTTTTTTAATTACAGAGGACTTACCTCTCCATTAACAGTTGAAGGGTGCTGCGCCTAAGGATAAGAAGCGTAAAAACGACAATTCCAAAACTTTTTTCAATATAGATGACAAAAATCCAGAACTTCATAAAAATATTGTAGCTTGCCGCCAAAATTACAAATAAATCCAAGGTCCAAAACGTGCCCATGATAACAGAGAGCCGCAAAAATATTACATAACTGAGAAGGACATATTTATTAAACTGCTTACCAAATTCTGAAAAAGATTTGTTCTTACGGCTCAGTGTCAAAATTGAAGCATTGTATGGTCCTCTCTTTATCTCGTTCGAATTTTCTCAGTTCGCTCTTAACTTTCCAAATGTGAATGACCGTGAGAATAAACATGATTATATTAAAAAGTATTACAAACAGTTCTGGTGCCTCAAAGTATATCCAATAATAGCTCCCCCAAACTGTAGACGAAAGGAAATATATGGTAAAAGCTTAGATAAATGTTTCCTTAACTCAAACCTTCCAGCGTGCACGCAGAATAGCCAATTAAGGGCAACCAGTTCCATTTATGAAGATCCTCCTCCCAAATTAGATTCATTACATAAATAACTCCTGTTGGAATAGCAGCCATGCTCCAGGCGAAGGCACTGTAGGTTTTAAACGAAGTATCCTCATATCTATTCGTCAATAATTTCCACAAATGGAAGCTAATGACGGAGTTCCAGAAATTGTTGGCTAACATGAAGAAGTATTGACAGTAACCTGACGAAAAACCTCGAGTGTTAGTAGTGGTCCTATTATTGAGATCCAGTCTGAATTAAAAATAAACAACTGACCTTTTAATAGGCAAATGCGGTTCAATAAATGCAATGTCTCCAGGATGTTAGAAAGATCCCAAATGAGCAAGCTAAATATGTTAGAAATAATGCACTTGCCGAGGACATTCCGAAGCTTCCTAACGTAAAGATATACAAACAATGTAAGGATGTAGCATATTGTGGATATCGCCTTTACTGCAAGTACAGAAACAGAGAAATTAAGGTAACAGCGGAAGTCATTAATTAATGTATTTTAATACTCTCAAATTGTCCTGTTAATGGACTATCCTGACATCTGTGTTTAACAACCCAAATGGAATTAGGAGTGTCCGAATTAAACTGGGGATACAGACAGTAAAGTTGTTTTGGCAAGATTTTCTTAGGATAGGATGAAATTAAGAATCCGTCCTAAAGAGATTGCATTAGAAATGTAGATACTGTTTTTTCAAATAGCATAACAAACCTTCAACATTACGTAATCACCCATATTAATGGTGAACATCTCATCGCAACTTTCAAACCGATCTCTCAATCTGAAAGACTTTTTAATCAACCCCACGTTCTGGACAGGGTCCTTTGACGTTAAGTTTATCATATTTAGAGGAAGCTCTTTATTAAAGCCATCGTTACATGTTCCGTTTGCTAACATTTTTTTTTTGGGGCAGCAGATTCGGACACACGGCATCACTTCACAGACACAGGCTCTTAGGTGAGTTTTCACAGGCTCTGTGGCTCCATCCATGAACTTTCTATAATTATACTCCGCAATAAGGTTAGAGGGAATTTCGAGACCCTTATATATGTAAGTATTGTTGACTATTTCCAAATCCGAAATATCAACAGTATCAAAATAGTCACAGTTGGGAATATCAGCGGTTGAATTCCTGACAACAGTTAGAATCGCAATCAAAACAAACAATTTAAAAGACAGAGACATTTTTAAAAAGAAATTTTTTAGCACAGAGAGGAAAACTCAACTAAGTCCCGAAATGCAAGGCTTGCAGATTTTATAGCTTTGCCTCGAAAACTAATTACTTTTAAAAAACTGAGCCGTCCCTAGAAGTCGCCAAAAAAATCTTAAGAATGCCCATGGTAATAATTAAAATGAACAAATTTAAGATTTGTCCAAAATAAAAAGTGCTCTTGGGACCCATTTTCCTTCAGACTCAAATCTTGCAGTTGTAGAAATAATGCAGTTTTACTTTGTTTCTTACGAAATCTAATCAACAAAGGTTTAAAATTGAGAGTGAAAAGATCAAGCCTTCCTTCTAAGTATTTAATGACTTCAGAGTATAACAAATAAAATCGAATACAGTGTAACACCTAAAACCTAGTACCAGTCGCTGAACCGAGCTATTGTCCGGCTCCATTTGTCCATCCGGTTTGCGATGGTGTCGAACTCCTTGGGCCGCGGTTCGAAGATACGCTCCACTTTCCGGAAACACTTGAGATCTTCCACATCGCGCCAGATGCCGTGATTAATGCCCGCCATGAATGTGGCGCCCATGATGCTGCTCTCCGCATTCTCAGCCCGCTCCACTCTTAGCTGGCTGAGATCGGCCAGGAATTGGCAGACGAAGTCGTTGCGGGAGACGCCGCCATCAACTCTGAAAATATAAGTCAATTTTATATAAGAATTGTAAATATTTTAAAAATATAACATAAAAAAAATATATAAATATTATTATTCACAGACTTATTTGACATTAAAGTCAATTTAAATTATAGGTACCTATTATTTTTAACCAGAAAACAATTCGATTCTACCTTATTTCATATCAATAAAAAGCCGATATGATTTATGTCAAATTTATGATTCAAACATATCAACATGATATCATATAAAATACCAAATTTAGTAATTTTTTTAACAAGTAATCATATCAAAATGATATGAATATCTTGATCTTTACAAAATATAAAATTGACCAGCACATATCAATCTGATCTTTTGTCAATATTTTTTTTCTGAGTACAGCTGGTAAAAGTTAACGAAAACTGAAGAGCTTATCAAATTATAGCAATAATTCTATAAGCAGCGGGATACTTGGGGTATTTTTTGCTACTGCATTTTAAAGTATAAACTTTGTTCAATCATTAAAAATACATATAAAAAATAACTGTCTAGCTTTAAGTCTATAAAGTCTAAAGTCTACAAGAAATTCCATTAAATATGAACATTACTAGTAACAAAATGTGATCTCTGTCTTCTGTTTACCTAATCATTTGAAGCTTCTGAGAGGTTTCCATTTCGGCAGCCTCGATCAGTTGCACCAGGCGAAAGACTATGCTCTCGAGCAGGGCCCGCACCATGTGCGCCTTGGTAGTGGACGGACTGAGGCCAATGAAGCCACTGGCTGACCGATAATCGTTCACCGGGGGCTGTCAAAGATAAGATGGGGATTAGCTAATCGCTATAAGTTATAAGTGCTACATAAAGAACTCACCCCCAGGCCACTGAAGGCGGGCATGAAGAAGACATCATTCGTGTCGGGAACAGACTGTGCAATGTCCGCTGTATCAGAGGGATTCTCAAAGAGCTCACAGGATTGAGCCCAAGTAACCACAGTGCCAAAGTCATGGGATGCTCCTTCGATGCAGTAAATGGCTCTGCTCTTCAATTGCCAGGCAACCAGGGGATACATCCCAGAGATGGCAGCATGACAGCGGTCACCGGTGACCAAATTCAAGAAGGCACCGGTGCCCATGGTGACCTTGACGTCGTTCTTTCTGAAACACTGGGAGCCCCACATGGCAGCCGTTTGGTCGCTCAGCGAGGCAGCAATAGGAATCTTTGTGTTGGCCCACTGGGCACCCAAAGCAGACGGATGTACATGCCCGAAATCCTTGTAGGCATTGTCCACCACACGTGGCAAGATTTTTGACTGTAAGGGAAGCATAAATACATTACAATCAGGGTTCGGAAAATAATACACTTTGTAAAACACTTGTGTTATGAACATGTTAAATGTCAAAGTGATAAGTTCAAAAAAAGTTATTGACATTTGTGTAAAAAATTTTTTAGCTTACATATGTTAGAAACATAAATAACACACACAGTTTATTTGTGTTATTTACACGACGTGTTATTAACACGACGTATTTTTTACATAACGTGTTTTTAACACAATGAGTTTTTGACATTAAAACGACAGAAATATATGCTTAGAAACGGTTAAAAATAACAATTAAGATATCCTGGCCCAATAATGATTCTTCATTTTCCCTTCGATTCGTTAATGTCCATAAAATATAATTTTCATTTGTGTTAGAAACACAGTGTGTAAAAAACACACAAGTGAGCTGTGTGTGTCAACAATTATTTTTCACATTTTAACACTTTTGTTTTTGACACACATGTCAAATTTTACATGTTTTTCACATGTGTGTTAAATTCCGAACCCTGATTACAATTTAGTTTTTAAAAGGACCCCAACCCACTCACATTGATGCCAAAGAGCCAGCTTATCAGAGGCGACCAGCTTAGGGTAAATGGATCATACAATCCCGTGGCCGTACTCGAGGTTACATCGGTTATGTGCTCCACATCCTTGTCGCCACTGCTGCCGGCGCGCAGCTTGTGCAGGATCCACGAGTCCAGCAGCTCCACGCGTGCCTTCTTCTGCATCAGAGCCTTCTTCAGCTTCTTGTTGTGCATTATCTCGTAGAGCAGTCGCGGCGTCACTTGGCCATTCATCAGTTTGAGCACGCTGCCGGCGAGAAATCGCGATTGCCGCGTGAGCAGGAACAGGGCGTATGAGAACCAATTCATGGAGCTCTTTGTCCAGCTGGTATTCCACTGGTCCACCAGCTCATCGGCACGCAAATCCTTCCAGGTGATAAAGTTGTGGTAGTACTCGCCACTGCGATGGTCCCAGGTGAGGAAGGTGCAGCGCTGCGTGGAGATGGTCAGGCAGGTGATGTCCTGGGGCGTCAGCTTGGCCTCTGCAATAGGTGTTTATGGGGGATTAATAAGTAGTTAAGGTAGGAATATAAAGTAAGGGATTTGTATTTAATTTAAAATTTTTACAAGAAAATATTGGTTTTTCTTAGGTAAATTTTTATATTTCTTAAGTAGCTCCTAATTGTAAATTTATAAAGGAATTTTTGGGAGTTTAGTTTAGAAATACTAGAACTTTGTGACATATGTAAATATAAATTTATGTATTATCATTAAAAAAGTCGTAAATATTAGTTTTTTAAAAGAAAATATTGGTTTTTCTAAGGTAAATATTTGTATTTCTTAAGTAGCTCCTAATTGTAAATTTATAAAGGAATTTTTGGGAATTTAGTTTATAAATACTAGAACTTTGTGATTTATGTAAATATAAACTTACGTACTATCATTAAAAAAAAATCGTAAACATTCGTTTTTTATTTCAAAACATTTCGTGATATCATACCAATTAAACCTGAGTTTTGTGAACTCATGGAAAATAAATGGATAAATGTATTCCATTAGAAAATTTAATATAAATATAGTGGGCTATATTTCCAAAAAGGTTTTTACTACAAAAATTCATTAGAATTACTTTTTTCTTCCAATTTAATTTAATATATTTTTGAAATGGCTATAAGATATAATAATAGACCCCTTTAAAAACCTGTTGGGGGTTTTATGGGAACCCGATTTTGCTCACCTTTTACCGCCAGCGTTATAACGTTCACAATTTTGCGCCACAAGCTCTCCGGTTCGATTTCAAAGTAGCCCGGCTGTGGGTTCAGTAGCTCCACCTAATTGCGCCAAAGGTCGTAAAGGTTTGCCGCTTAATTAACTTTGCACCCGAGGGTCACTTGAAGATCGAATCACTTACCGAATCCACAGCCGATCCCCGGACGACACATCGTTCGTCCAAGACGAAGCTCCGCACACAGGTGGTGCCCACATCCAGGGCGAGTATGAAGCAAGGTGATCCTGATACTGATCCCGAATCCCTTGGAGATCCCAAATCTTTAAGTTCTCCTGCTGTTTTTGTTGCTACTTCTGGAGGCGCCGACATCTTTCCCAGCGCACGCTTCGTCGATCACTGGCTTTTGGACGCTGTTACTCCAAACTGGCGGGCCGACTTATCCATTTCGCTACTGTTATTGCTATTGTTATTGTTAATGCGTCGAGGTCTCATAGTGCGCGATTCAGATTTCCTTATCAAGTGCTCGACTTTTGTTTTTGTTTCGCCTCCAGATGATAACCAGTTGGCGATAGAGTTGTCACCTGCCTTGGAAATCGACTAGCTTGAAAGTGGCTAGAAACTGGCTAGAAAGGGATTTTTGTTTAAAGTCTAGTACACACTTCAATCAAAAAGGCAACGAAACGAAAATTTTTATACAAAAATGATAGGCGGAAAATTTCTTGATCAAAAATTTGTATGGAGATTTTTATTTCGTAGTCTTTTCGGTTGAAGTGAGTACTAGGTCTAAAGATTAAACATTTTTCAAATAATTAAATCAAATTCACACAATAAAAATGATTGAATTATTTACTAAAATAATGCATTTAAATCAACACCCAAAATAGGTAATAAACATTTGTCAAATAATTTATTAAAATTAACTATAACTTCTATATACTTTAATTTTCGTCAAATTAAAGTAGTGCTTGAGATAACATTTTTAAGATAAGGAAACTAAACTTAAGCAATCTTGTTATATTAATAACTTAATATAAAAATAAATATTCCATAATCTATTCATAGCTAATAAAAAGCCCAAAAAGCATATAAATAATAAGTTCAAATTCACACCACAAATTGTTGAATTATTTACTAAAATATTTAATTTATGTCAACGTCTAAAAATGGTAAAAATAAAAAAGCGCTTGATATTAAAATCTCTAATATTTTTAAATTTAATTTTATAAATAATTTAATTTAAACACGACAGTTTTTGTTATAGCTTGAAAAAAGGCAAAAAAAACAGTGTTGGCTAACGCACAAAAGCCCTTTACTAATTGCCACCGCAGCGACAACCCTAATCGGCGCAAATTTCGAATCAACAAAAGCACAACAATCAATTGATAAGACAATCGAGCAGAAATCGTTTAGGATTATGATTCTTATCACTGACCGAATGATAAGCTCGCTAAATTTAGAGCACTATCGACCCGCCGTCCCTCGAAACGATTATTCACGTGTGCCGTGCCTCATCGCCATCTAATCTTAACAACAATTTCTTTTACAACTTTATTTGCTGTACACATAGACACTTGCATATATATATATATATGTATATATAGGTACGAATTCAGGTATATAGATACTACACATACAAGATAAACCTTTATCTAAAATAGTTAGCATTGTACTAATAGTTGTGTCCAATAAAATACATTTTACAATCAACTTGTTAAACACACATCGATTTACAGATAGAGTACTGTACTGGATGATAAAAGCTCTCAGAAGCCTCCTCCTTTGCAAACTTAGGTACTGGTTTTCTGTTTTCTGGTTTCTCTTTGGAGATATGATGACTACGCCTAAAGAAAAGTTGCTCCTTTCGAGGCGGATTGCCTTTACATGTCCGTTGGCAGGATGTCCGGGATGAGGTACTGGCACAGCTCGACCTCATCGCCCACAAACTTCACCTTCTTGGCGGTATTATCGTCCAAAAGCACCCGAATGGCCGGCCAGATGGTGGAGAACAATCCCGGGGAATTGATGATCAGACAGACGCCCAGGCGTTCTGGAAAATGCTTGCCCAGCAGCCAGATGAGATTTTGCACCAGCTGGTAGTCCATGCAGCTGGTGCTGAACTCCGCCAGATCGAAGACGATGCACAGGCGGTCGGTGACCTCCTCGAAGCACTTCTTGCACGCCTCCTCCAGATTGTAGACAATGAAGCGGGTCAGCTCATCGATGTCCCGCTCGGAGCTGTGGTTCTTGGCCGGAATGTAGATCACCGGACGACCGATGCAGTCGCGGTGGCGCAGCAGACGAGCCTTCTTGTCCAGCTGGCTGCGGTCCATCTCGCCGAGCTTCTCCACGCCGTAGGTTTCTCGCCATTTGTTGGTCTTCAGAATGGCCTAAGGGGGAGATTTCAGTATTAGTCACTCTATAAGAATTTTGCAAGGTTTCTTTATATTTTTATTTTATTTATTTACTTATATTTTGGTTCTGAGGCAATTACAAATGACATCCAACCAATTTTTTAGCTATAGCTTCTGGGCCTTAAGCGAGTAAATTCTTTATAAATAATTCGAAGATAACTTGAAAGTTTTAACTATTTACGCTTTATTTATATTTACGTCATAATTGTACAATTTAAAGAATTTCAAAATTAATCTAGTTCAGAAAAAAATTCCAGATAAAAATGGATGGCATTTTAAATTTAATTTGATAACTTGGAAAGTTTTGACTTTTTATACTTTTTTATGAGTCATTTTTTTATATTTTTTACTCTTAATTACTCTAGCTTAGAAAGAATTCCATATAAAAATGAATGGTATTTTGAATTAATCTTGATAGCTTGGAAACTTTATAAAAAAATTTAAAAATTAATACAGTTAAAAAAAAAATCAATGAAGAACATATGGTTTTAAAAACATTTTGTTGGGATATCATATCTTAAAGACGTCGAATGATTTTTAATCCCTAAGAAAATAATAAATTATCCCTCTTAATATGATCTTAAATGATTGAAATCAAGATCAAAATCAGACCTTGACCTGGTAAAAGGGTATTCTAGGATTCGGTTCTGTAGGTCTTCATAGAATAGTAAAAATCCTCAGTTTTATTTGCGAATGGCTCACCTGAAATGCGTCATCTGTGGTCTTGAAGGCGCGCAGATAGCGTCGTAGCGAAAAGTCGTTATGATATTGCTTTGGATCGGCCTCCACAATCAATTTCATGCGCTCCTTGAGATCCTTAAAGTCCTGTTCGTTAATTGGCGCCAGCTCCTCGGACGACATATTGCAGAGCTTTAATCGGTCGTTGATGCGAAATACTTTGCGTTTCCGTGCTGGAGAGTCTCGGATTGCGATTGGAATGTGCTGACACTGTGTGAAACGCAAGCAGAGCCTTTTATTTTTCCAGGGAAATGTTTTTTTCACAAACGGAACGGATTTGTTTTTTTTTATTTCTGTCCAGTGTGACCGTGACTGGGAGAAGATCTCAAAATATACTTCAACAAAAATACCACAAGTATATATTAAATACTAGAATCGAACCGTTATTTGTTGTGACCGTTAAGCTTAAATTCTATAATTAAAACTTTGAAATTTAAAGTGTTTATAAAATATTTTTAGAACTTTGTTGACAAAAAATATACAACAATTATTTTAAGCTCAAAGATTTTATTCACTAGTTTTTCAATTTATTTTTAAGATTTATAAGAAAAGTTTTCTAAGATTCTCTTCCTTTAAAGTTAATTAAAACTAATTAAAATTTTCATGTTAAAATTGTAAAAGTTTTTTGAATTTAAGTAATTTTATTTTTATATAATCTTTAAACATTTTTCATATATTCTTTATTTTGTTACACAGTTTTTTTAAAAGACATAAATATAAATTAGGACTTTCGAGATAAAAATAAATCCAAAATGCACATCCATCTCGTCGGGCATGTGCCTTATATACATGTTAATGTTTCGTAAATAACTGCAATTATTCTTTAAATGATTAACAATACATAATTGGTTGGCCGAAGCAACACAAAATATTAAGAATGCACAACGCTCTCATCTCTAAGTATTAGCTACAAATGCAGAGATTCCTAAATTGAGATTTCTATTGCTTGATGGTCTTCACTAAGCTCCTGTCCGTCCTCCTTCATTTGGGCACCATGACGCGGGCTATGCCCGGCAGGACCTCAGCCTGGAGGGGACCGAACTCGACGCGCTCCCCGTCGACCGTGATGATGCCGTGATTGTCGTGTGGCTCCAGCCGGAAGGCTCGCACCGGCAGCACCTTCACATACTCGTTGTTCACCGCCGGCAGATGCGTGCCGGAGCTCATGTTGTACAGGAAGCTCAGCAGATGCGGCCGACTGATGCCGGCGCGTATGAGTATCAGATAAATGGTGCCGTCGTTCAGCTGGGCCTTGGGCGCAAAATGGCAGTCGATGCCCAGATGCGTCTGATAGACGGCATGCATCATCACGAACTCGCCCTCCTCCACCAGCCAGCCCTGATCCTCGGGCAGGGGGTCCTCTAGATCGGGCAGTTCGCTCGCCGGTCCATAGTTAAGCTGCCTGTTCTCCAGCGAAGCGGCCGCCAGGCCCGCAAACTCGCTCTCATCCGCCAAACTATGATAGATGCTCTCCGATATGGAATAGTAGAAGCTGCGACGCGATCCACCCGAAAGCCAGCTGTCGCAACGCGAGCGAAACGACTGATTGATGGACGTCTCCAGGGAGATGACGTCCGCAAACTCCTGCGGCAGGTACTCGGCACTGGAATGAAAGCTGGACGCCGCCGGCGCCGGTCCATTGAGCATATCGATGTGCGTATTGCAGCTCCGACTGCCCAGCATCCTGCGATGACCTCCGCTTTGGCCCTGACTGGAAGAGGAATCCTGCTGCTGCTCCGTGGGCAAATAACTAATGCGTCCGTTGTAGGTGCGCAGATTCACCAGACGATACAGAGTCCACACGGTGAATCGTTGGTAGCCCAGCAGCCGGATGCGCTCGCTCTCGATATCCACGTCCGAGATGAGACCCCAGCCGATGGAGAGGAAGGAGTAGAGCGAGCGAGTCTGCAGCTGCACGCGCACCACATCCATGGGAGAACTGCGTCCACTGATCACGGTGAGAGCGGCTCCCAGCACGGGCTTACTGAAGTACGGTTCACTGGGGTAGAAAGATTAAGGATTAATAGGTTTCAGGACACATATCTAAACTAATATAAAATTGGTCCTCTAAAAAACGGTCAGTAGTAAATTTCACCCAGAACGGATTGACATAAAATCTCAAAAAAAATCCCATTAATTACTAAAATAATTAGGAACCGCGTGTGAGGTACAAATTATCATTTATATTCCTCTAATCAATCAATCCAATAACCTTGTTAAAACGTTTAATAAGCGGAAATAAAGGCAATTCACTTTAGGACAACTAATTAACATGGAATACCATTAAAAGTTTAAGGAAATTGGGGTAATAACTTCAAGATTATACCAAGTTTGACGTCATTAAGGGGTAATTTCCCATTTTTCAAGGTACAAAAAGTGCAATATGAGAATCAATAAAGAATTCTGGGAATTCTGGGAAATGAAATCTTACACGAAATGTGAAGCCAAGGTATCAGAATCTCTTATATAATTAGGATAACTTATTTTCCATGTTAATTAAAGTTATTTTCCATTAAAAGTTTAAGGAAATTGGGGTAATAACTTCAAGATTCGAAAAGTTGACCAAGTTTGACGTCATTAAGGGGTAATTTCCCATTTTTCAAGATACAAAAAGTGCAATATGAGAATCAATAAAGAATTCTGGGAAAAAGAAGAACTTGGAAATAAAATCTTACAAGAAATGTGATGCCAAGGTATCAAAATCCAACTTACTTGTAACAATGAGCAATAGACCTGGCCAGCCCATTACCCGAACCGCAGGGAATGATGCCCAGTGCCAAATGGGGCAGAACGTGCGCCCAATCCTGGCGCTGCAGCAGCCCATTGACAATCTCGTGGAACAGGCCATCGCCGCCGACCGCTACCACGCAGCACCAGGCATCCAAAGAGCGGGTGCTCAGGAATTCGATGGCAAAGTTGGAATGCTTCGTTACGTACAGGTCGTAGGGAACCTCGGCCTCGTTGAGCACCGGCACCACATGCATGTTGAAGACCTCGCGGGCATCGCCGGAACCGGATTTCGGATTTAGCAGCACCAGCACTCGGCGCCTGCGCTCATCAGCCGCCGGAGCCACGAAGATCTCCTCCAGCGTGCGATGCAGCTGCCAGCGCAGCGAGCGATACCATCTGTCCGCCTCCCGCATGTTATCCTCGAACGTGTCGAAGGATCTGAAGCGCAGCGTTAGCACTGTTCTCTCCCTGTGCAGCTCCGTGCGCAGGCTCCTCTTCTTCAGGACATAGGCGAAGACATAGAGAAAGGCGCTGACATCGCCATCCGCGGGCAGATTCTCCCGGCTGTTGATGCTGCACTTGCTCGGCGTGTTAACTGCACGTTGATGATGATCACCGCCAGATGCCGAAATGGCCGGTGAATTGGGATTGCCGGAGCTGCAGGCACAGGCTCCGGACATCGCCAGGCGGCGACTCTTCTTGGGTCGCATGCAGCGGGCACCCACAATGTCCGAGATCCGCACCTGCTGCTCCTTGACGATGCTGCCGCCGGGCGACTCCCGCTGCAGCGTGAATCCCGTGGCATCCAGACGAACCCGAAAGACGTGGCTGCCCTTCTTCCGCTGACTCGTGTAGAAGGTGTCGCTCACATCGTGCCCCTCATCCGGATCCCCATTCTCCTGCGAGGCCCTGGAACTGGCCAGGCTCGGGCTGGTGGTCTTATCAAGAGATTCGCTCATTTTGACTGGAGATTCGGCTGCCAAGCAGCATGTTTCAGGGGTTTTCCGCCCAGCTTTTTATTTTTATTGCTCCCTTATCACAATTATCATGGCCGAATGTGACCGTATATGACAAAAACACCTAAGCTCCTTTCAAAAAAATACCAAACCGTGCTGAAGAACAAAACGTTTTTGAAAATATACAAACATATTTTCAAATATTTATTTGGGGGATTTCCTAAGTTGCTGAAGGCTAAAATTTGATAATTAAAAATTGCCTCATTTGCTACAAATTTCTGTTAAATTTTTAGCAGCTTAACAGTTTTCAATGTTTTTCTATTTTCGGAACAAAAATAAAAAGAGCTATGAAAACAATATATCTTAACTTAATACCGTTTTCTTTTAGATGCAAATTCATTGCACGGGGAGCTTGGCCAAAGGTAATTGTAATTTTTTTCCACGATTTCATGTATAAAATTGTATTTTTCCTCAAAGGACATAAATTTGGATTTTCCCGGACCGTCGAAGAATTCCTTAGCAGTCATTTTTGTAAAATCAATAAGATTCAATAGTGAATTTATCTCGCATTGATCGACGAATTTGTGGATGCCGACATACTTTTCTACCATGCCATAACGCCTTATTTCTGTGGAAATTCTGAGCTTCAGGAAATCTTTGAAGGCATCTGGCTTCAGAGCAAAGAATTCGGTAATAGTCTAGAAGAGCGGCCTGAGCACCAAAAACCGCGAAAAAATTACCCTCGATGGACCGCGATTTCTTAGGAATTTACGTGCAGACGATTATTTGCGGAAATGCATGGTTCTCTTGTAATTGAATTTCAAAGTTGCGTGTTTTGCTATAAAAACAAAGTAGGATTTTGAGGTGTTTTGTGTCATTTTGCTATAAAAACAATGAGCATTTTCTATGAATTTATGGGTTTGCTATAAAAAACAAGTAGGCTTTTGTTGCTTAATCAGAAATTGCACTTTTGATTTTTGTTTACTATGGATTCCTGCAACGGGTGCACTATTTCTTATAAAGACGTTCTTGCCATGGACGAAGAAGAAGTGTTTTCATTTCTGCAGAGACATGGAGTTGTTCTAAAGAGCAAGGACTGTCCCAACTGCAGTAATCCCGCAACATTGTCTTTCAATGCGAAGAGACCGATTAGTACGCCATTTTGGAGGTGCCGCAGGATGATAAGTAATCATCAACAGAAACGGAAATTAAGAAAAGTTCAATGCTCCTTTAAGGTAACAATTGTTTAATTTGAACAAAATATTGCTTTAAATTATATTTGTAAGGAATCCGCCATCAAACGGACATTCTTCAGCAAGTCCCACGTTGGCATTGAACAGGCCTGTAATTGTGTGGCTTGGGAGATGAAGGGTTCAACAATCTCATTCCTTCGGGAAGAACTAGGCTGGTCCCAACAGACGGTGGTTGACTGGAGTAATTTTCTTCGGGAAATTTATCTTAGCTGGACGAAGAAGAACGCAAAACAAATAATAGGTGGAGACGGTTTAACCGTCGAAATTGACGAAACCAAAATTGGCCGGCGCAAGTATAATTGCGGTCGCGTGGTGGATGGCCAGTGGGTTTTCGGAGGAATTTGCAGAGAAACCGGTGACTTTTTTTTGGTGCCTGTGGAGGACCGTAGCCAGGAAACACTCCTTCCAATTATAGAGGCCAACATCGCCAATGGAACCAGAATTATATCCGACTGCTGGAAGTCATACAATGGTTTAAAGGATGCGAACTACTCTCACATGATCGTTCATCACTCAGTAAACTTCGTCGACCCTGAAACGGGAGCCAATACACAGCGAATAGAGAGACTATGGCGTGATCTAAAGGAGAACATTCCCCACTATGGCCGGAAAACGGAGCACTACCAAGGGTACATAGCGCGATTCACTTTTTTGAAAAGGCACCCAAACCACACCTCAAGATTCCATGCAATTTTCTCAGCAATGGGCGAATTGTTTAATCCTGAACGCGATGTTAGTATTTAAAAAGAGATGGGAAATGCTAAAAAAGCGCCGGAGGCAAAAAAATTAAAAAAAAAAATCGCGCGATTTTTTTTTTAATTTTTTTGCTTCCGGCGCTTTTTTAGCATTTCCCATTTTTTAAATCCACCGATACGGGCAATGAAAAGGAATAGGCTTAATCTGTACCACTAACCAGCATTTTTTATAAATAAATATTTACTGTCCAATCATTAACCATAGTTTAATATAGCATTTTATTTACTATTACAAATGAGTTACAAGTATAAGGAGGTACTGAACTAAAAACTCTCGTAATTGGCTTTGATAAAGACTAAGGTTGATCCTCCTCGGATTGCGATTTCTTAAGATTCATCTTAAAAATGTATATGTTGGTCATCCATGGTCGCCCAAGCTCTTAAGGAATCACGGTCCATCGAGGATATTAATGCGCGGTTGTGGGGTCTGGCCTGCTATAAAAACAATTTCACATTTTTGTCGAATTTTTTCGAACGCTTATTATTTTGACAACAAACGGAAAGCCCATATGTTTTTTATAGCAAAATGACATAAAACACCTCAAAATCCTAGAAAATCCTACTTTGTTTTTATAGCAAAACACGCAACTTTGAAATGCAATTACAAGAGAACCATGCATTTCCGCAAATAATCTTCTGCACGTAAATTCCTAAGAAATCGCGGTCCATCGAGGGTAATTTTTTCGCGGTTTTTGGTGCTCAGGCCGCTCTTCTAGACTATTACCAAGAATTCTTCTGATATAGTAGTAGTAGCTATCATTTGAAGTTTTAGCTGCTCAGAAATAAGCCCGATAAGTTTGTCGTTCATACCATGCGCTTGCTCAAAGCATATCACCAAGTCCTTACAATTCATGGTATTTAATCGGTTTCTCAAAATATTATCGCAATGCTTTTTTAGTGGCTCGACCAGCCACATGTCGGCGCACTTATGTAGCTTAATTATGTCCTTATTTGTGTAGCTACTCAGGCATTTCTTTTTGTAGCTGTACACATACAATTGAAACTTTTCAAAAATATCCTCTGTAACATCACTTAGAGTCACTTCTCCTGTCTTAGCCTCAGCAAAACCTGGCTGAAAAATGCGCTTGAAGAAATCCGAAGCCACACTCAGTACCATCTAAATAATATTAATATTTTAAATATGTCTATAACACATGGATCAACTAGTATTACCACCTACCTTGTGACAATGGAACCTACGCGTTCCAACAATTACGCAGCAGTCGGAAAAATCGCCCTCCTCCAATAGTTTTTTATAAGAACTACCCAGCCTATGTAAATAATATCCCACAGGAGTAGGAGTAAGTAATGTTTTATTTGTTGTATTATTCCTTACCAAGTCTCCATAGTTGCACAATTACTTAAAAACAACTCCGATTACGTATGCAAAATTTGTTCTAGGATCGGATAAAGAACCTCTTCTGTTGTCTTACAATACACGTATGAAAAACGAAGTACTTAATATGACAACATTTTCAGGGCTTTCTATTTACTTAAAGAAAGTGTACTGAGATCAACACACGCAAAGAATACAAATTTCCATTTAAAACCGTGTTTCTCAGGGGAAAGATCCCGGAAAAACATTTTAAAGAAGTGAACTTTCACTAAAATCTATATGAGTAATGATACTTTTGCACTTTCTTATTTTAATGCGAAAATTTTGCTTTCCAAATTCAGGGCTCGATTCTGCTATATAATATTTTTCATTACTTTTCACTAAAAATATTCGAAACGAACGTTATTTTGTAGCTCTACTTAGGATTTTGAACTTTTTCCGATTTTGAATAAATACTAAACCGCGTTAGAAACCGGTATTTTTCGTGCGATGCACTTGTGCAACGGCAACGGCGTTTTTCGGCGTTCGCGCAACGGCCCTACAAAGTTTAGTGTTTTTTTTTAGCATTTCGAACTGTTCCAGAATCCGATCCGGGAAATAATTGCGCAAAACGATGATGCAGATGAGCGAGTACAAGGTGGTGCCGCAGAACGCGCCGCAGGATGACACGGTGGTCCGCCAGCCGCAGGCGGTGAATCCCGGAAACAATGCCAACGGCGGAGGAGCTGGTGCGTAGATATAGATTTGTATGGATTAGTCCCACTGTTGAATTCCATTGCCCAGATGGTCGTAGTGGGATGCGCGCGTCTGTGTGTTTGAGTGGGCGTGTGCAAAAAGGCGGAATTGCCTGCGCCTTTTTTTTGGCATTTCATACAGCAGCGGTCAAGAACCTAGCACTCCAGTTTTTATTTGTGATTTTATGGGCGAACTTAAGTCACTTAAAAATTGGTTTACTCTTTAATCTTTTCAAGATGTCATAAAAAAACAATGTTATATTTCGTTAATTAACCAAGTTCAGGGACTCAAAATAGGAATTTATTACTGATAAGTGATCACTGATCAGTTATCTAAATTTTTTTTATTTTAAAAATTTTGAAAGTTTTTTTTTTTAAATATTTTGGAAAATGCTTTAAATTATATGTACAAATTTCTGTATAATTTCTTTTACATTTACCCTAAATATTTCTGTTATAATAAAATGAAATTCGTAATCATAATCATTTCAAGATCTCAAAATTTTGAAAATTTTTTCCGAAATATTTTGAAAATTATATGTACAAATTATATGTACATTCTTTAAATTATATGTACAAATTTCTGTATAATTTATTCCACATTTTCCTTAAATATTTCTGTTGTAATAAAATAAAATTCATATAATCATTTCGAGATCTCAAAACCGTTGTTCTGATCGCTACTGTAGCTATGCTAATTTCCCCTTTATACATACAGAAAGCAATATACATATATATAGATATATAGCTAATCGGGAACTACGGCCATTGCAGAGAACTGGATGTCGATACCCGTGGGCATGCCCAACTGCCCGCAGGGCCTCGAGTACTTGACCGCCCTGGACCAGCTGCTCGTGTCGCAGAAGATCGAGAAACTGGAGCTGATCACCGGCTTCGAGACGAAGAATCGCTTCAAGGTGAAGAATTCCCTAGGGCAGAACGTTTATTTCGCCTACGAGGAGAGCGATTGCTGCACCCGCAACATGCTCGGCCGCTCGCGTCCCTTCGAAATGAAGATCCTGGACAATTTCCAGAACGAGGTGCTCCACCTGTACCGGCCATTCAAATGCGACATACTCTGCTGCTTCCCCAGCTGCATGAACGCCGTGGAGGTGTCAGCGCCACCGGGCCAGGTGATCGGGAGCGTGGAGCAGGTCTGCACCTTCCTGCGGCCCAAGTTCAACATCAAGAACACCTTCGGCGACGTTGTCCTGCAAATCGAGGGACCCCTGTGCCCCTGCAAATGCTTCAGCGATACCAACTTCAAGGTCAGTCGGCGGCACCAACAAGTGGTTATTCATGTGTCTCGATCTTGATTCCCGTATTCAAACAAGTGTATACACACACAGCTGCGGTCAGCAGAATAGCAGACAAGTTGAGGGAGCATTTTATGACATGAATGGCATTCATTTTCATTCAATTGCCAATGGAGTTAAACCATTTAATTGCTTTTTAATTATTGAAAATAATTTATAATTGGTTGTGGTCAGTTAGCCATTCAAACAAGTACAAAGATTATAGTATAAGCGTACAGAAGAGGTCAATATTATAGCAACCATACTAAGAACCCTTTAGTATTTTTAATGATATTAAATGATCTTTTAATATTTTTTTTATATAACAATATTTAAACAGTTTTGAAAATTATTATTTAATTTGTTCTTACTAAGACTAATTAATTAATTAATTTTTATTTAAAAAACGAATTGAATAGAATTTTAAATATTCTTTTAAAACTTTTTAAAATTCTAAGACCTATTTTTCTGACCCCAGCTGTATTTGGTACATATAAAGCTACAGAAACTGCAGTCCGATACAGTGACGTCATGGGTCGCTATGCTTGACTGTCCAGAGCGAGTCAATTAATTGCGATACTGCGAATTCTGTTTGTGTGCGAATTCCGTCCCCGATTAATGCGAAACGCAAACATATCTCGCCTTTTTTTGTATACTATTCTACCCCTTTTGCAGGTATTGAGTGCCAATAACGAGGAGATCGGCAAAATAAGCAAACAATGGTCTGGATTGGGAAGGGAGCTGTTCACCGATGCGGATTACTTCAGCGTCACCTTCCCCCTGAATCTGGATGTTCGCATGAAGGCACTGGTATTCGCAGCGCTCTTTTTGATCGTGAGTAAATCACAAATAAAACATACACTTAATAGAATATGTTATACTGATTTATTTCCTGTTTATTTCAGGACGCGGTTTACTACGAGCAATAAGCTGATGCACCAATCGAATGGAAAATCGACAAACACTCAGACATTATTATTATTATCGCCGACTGCTTTTTGGTTCGACGTGCTGCATCGTCATAGCTCTAAGATTTTTTTAACCCCTTATTTAATCAACGTTTCCGGGAATCAGAAATGTGCAACGCTTTGATCGATTTGGAATGAATCTCCGCAAGCAACAGGAATCTCGCCGCACAACTTTCATCCAAACTGCAGTTGCACCTGGGTTTTGGCATTTAAAACACAAAGCGCACAACAATGTAGCACATACAGACTAAACACGAGAAGGAAAAGAAACAAATAAGATAAACAGACGAGAACGAGTGCCTTATGACGTCCTAGTTGTTATTGTCGTCGCCCCGCCCCCGTTTCCCCGATTTATATACCTCGACATACTACTTAGCTTTGTTGTACCCAAAGGTCGGAGCACAGGATTACTTAACTGCAACCATGGCGTACCTAACTAATTTACTATTACCTATTACCTATGACAAATGTTCATATATTTTTGTATGAAACAACTAATCGCAATCGAATTGTTAATCATTATGTGTGGCCCCAAAAGGCAACTCTCGTTCTCTTGTGGCGCCACGAAATTTAAATCACTTATACATTGTACTTCATCAATTTATTTATCTCTCAGTTATGCTGTAAAATAAACAAAATATATATTTTTTACAAAACAAATGCAATCGGTGGCATTGCGGACTTCATTTGTACAGAGGACTCAAGTGATTCAAGTCATGATTCAGTCGTGAACACTTGGAATGTAACTGGGCTGGGCTGCTAAATGCGATGAGCATCTATTCTTAGTTGTTCTTGGCAAAGTACTTGGTTTTCTCCTCGGGATTGGGAACGATCTGGAAAAGTAAATTGATGTTTTAGGATATATTTATGAAATAGGGATTTGATTATTTCTTACCGTATCGGCACCTGGCCGCCAACCCGCTGGGCACACCTCTCCATGGGTATCCGTGTACTGGAAGGCCTGGACGAGGCGAATGGTCTCATCCACAGATCGTCCCACTGGCAGATCGTTCATGGTGATCTGTCGCAGCACTCCCGATTGATCGATGATAAAGAGACCACGCAGCGCATGGCCACTGGACTCCAGATAGACGCCGTAGTCCTTGCTGATCTTGTGCGTCAGATCGGAGAGCAGGGGGATCTTCACGTTGCCCAGACCGCCTTCTTTCCGCGGTGTGTTGATCCAAGCCAAATGGGTGAAGTGCGAGTCCACGCTGACTCCAATCACTTCCGTCTTGATCTTCTTGAACTCGGCGATGCGATCGGAGAAGGCTATGATCTCCGTGGGGCAGACAAAGGTGCTGGAATGGCAAAGAAAAATGTAAGAATAAGGAATACACCAGTAATAATCTAGAGAAAATGATAAGAGATAGGGATTTTACAAGTCCTTTTTTGGAATAATAAATTAAATTCCATAATTCAAAAATATTGAAAATGTGAAAATAAGTAATACTTTTAAAATATTTTCTTAAAGTTTTAGAGATTTTAACAGTTTTTTTAAATAATAAATTCAGTTCCATAATACATTTTTTGTTAAAATCCTCAGATAATAATATTTATAACGATTGTAACGAAGTAATTAACTTAAAGATACTTTTAACATATTATCTTAAGATCATAAATCATAGAACTTATTTCCAAAACCGGTATACATACAAGTCCAGTGGATAGAAGAGTAGCACTACGTATTTTCCCAGATACTGGGACAGCGATAGCTTCACAATCTCCTTATTAACCACAGCGGTTCCCTCGAACTGCGGGGCTGGCTTGGAAACTGTCGAAATGAAGGTAATAAAATGGTTAATGATAATCCCGGGTTGTATATTATATATGGAACTCACTGACTGCCTTGGTGTACTGCAATTGATGGTCTCCCTTTGGCTGATCGGGATATACGGATCCACCGGCAAAGGAGTAACACGATTCATTATCTTCCGGCTTAGCGGCTCCAACAAGTGCCACGGATAGCAGAATAACAGATAAGTACTTGTTCATGACTGGGCTGAAACGAGATCCACGTAAGTACATATATTGCAATTAGATTCGGGTTGTACGGTGTTTATGACACGCAACTTTTACAATTATTGCCGCCTATTCGATTTTATATTAATAAACTAATACCCGTGTACAGTGGGTAGCCGGTTTATTGAACATTGGATTTTTTGTTAATTTTACTAAACATAAAAATTTTTATTTATGACTTTTTATAATTTTTTTTTAATAAAAATAAAACTATTTGTTTTAAAAATAATATATTTTTTTAAATTCTAGGTTAGAGAAATATGTGATTTAATATAATTTTAAAATATTTTTTGAACTATTTTGAAATTTAATTAATTAAAAGATCAAAGAATAAATTTACATTTCATATTATTTTATATTTACTGTTCCTAAAATATGATAACACCTAATAAAACAGAATTTTTTTACAAGTCGATTTTGAATATTCTTATCCAATCCATCCAAGCCAGTTACCACTGTACACACATACCCAAAAATTCGAACACGCCCACAACTTAAAGCCACGCAGTCAAAAAAATCTATTTCAATAGCCAGAACTTCAATTGATTTTGGTTAGAACCCTTATTGTTGCTGCGCTTCCGTAAAGATAAGCTTATCAATTTCATTCACTGGTAATATATTTTATTTTATAGTGTAACCGCTTCAATAAATAATTGTCAATAAACTGGAATTTCAATGCCTCTGCGATTCACTAACTTCATACTATTTATTTTTAGTTGCAGAACAATTAAACTTTCACTGAGCAGGCACACGAACGCACAGCTGTTACCTTTTAAGCGCTATAATTAACTCTTTTTGTATTAATAACAAATTGTTCTGCCGGCATTAGTGTGACAGTGGCGCGCAAAAATACCGCCAAGCCACTTTGGTCATACTACTATTGGAGGCTACAGCATTGCCAACATAAATGCAGTTTCAAAAATTATTCAGAATTATTTTTGAACTAAAATAATATATTTTTAACCATCAACTTTCCCTCTATTTTCCAGATTCCCTTTTTAACAATTTAAAACACAATCTATTCGTCTCACTTACGCTATAAACTTTATTAAAATATATATATCAATATATAAATTGCTCGCGCTTAAAAATTAAGGTTTACGCCTGGAGTTAAAACAACACGTACATATGTATCTATGCATGTTTACTTGCTACGACCAATAAATATATAGATATTTCTCTCTTACGGCCTAAGATGATATAATCATTATCATGCGCATCCTCTAAAAACTACAACAAGTTGAGCAAAAATCTGGTGTTAATTGCACAAAAAGCGAACATTTAAAGTACATTGCTTAGCATGCATGCAAATTACGCACATTTCTTTTGCTAGCTTTGATTGAGAAATTGTTGTTGCTGTTGTTGTTGTGGGATTTAAAAGGTTGGTAGTGTTTTGTTTTTGTTGATCTTTATGTGTTGGTTGTGTGGTTCCGCACTTATTGTTGATGGGTTGAGAAGAAAAATGCACCTTGCCCTGGTTTAGCTCTCCCAGACTTCGTCCCGCTGTTTGGCAGCTAACAGTTTGCGTTCTGTAAGTAAATTTCGAACAAAAATAAGTAAAACTTCAAGAATGCTCTATAAATCACAGTCACCTACCTTTGGCTTCACGTAGTACCCGCCTCTCGTTCTCCCGCTCCTGCGGCGCCGTCGGCAGTTTGACCCCCAATGCACCGGACACCAGTCGACGGGCCAAGGCCGTGCATGTTTCCGGACGCTGGCGATACGGCTGCAATGACACAGCACCGGCCTTCTTGGCCTTCAGTCGCGACTCCAGTGTGGCCTCCGCCAGTGGCTTCAACTTAACAAACGGATGTCCCATCGTCAGCACCTCAGCAGCTAAGCAATAAAACATTTAAGCCAATCTCCTATTTAAATCATAGAGCAATCTCACCAATACGGGAACTGCTGAACACAGCCAAAGCATGGGTATCGTCCACCCACTTAATGTCGAAGCCACTGCCCTTGTACTGGGCGAAAAGCATGAGCAGGTCGGGCGTCTTGAATTCCACCGGGAAATTGGACACCTCCAGAACGTGTGGAAACTCCTCTTCGTTGAGCAGCTGTTGTTTGATGTGGAAAACCTGGGGGAATTTCAAAAGATATATTATTTAGTATTACAAAATATTATAGATACAAAATAGGATTTAATTTATGGCCACGAATTCCCTTCAACTCACTGTGTAGTCCATTTTGGGCAGCTCTATCTTGCACTTGCCCACGGATTCGCTCAGTTCTTGGAGTATCTTGGGATCCAGGCAATCGCCGCTCTCGTCGAACATATTCTCCCAGTCGTCCTCGTCCTCCTCGTCATCATCTTCGGTGGTGCTGTCTGCAGGTGGTGGTGGTGGTTTCGCTGTGGCCGATGCTTGAGGAGATTGATTGGCCTTCTCGATTTTCTCGGGAATCTCCAGCACATCTGAGTTGAAGGTTTGTTTCATGATGCGTCGATTGCTGCGGTTTATTTCCTGTAATGATTTGAAGAGCAGTTAATAAAGTTCTTTATTTTTAAGGCATAGTATTTAACCCACCTTTGAGGCTCGCTGCAATTCGCGCACATCGTTATCACATTTGGCCGCCTCCTCGCCATTGGTAGTCGTCCTGGCCGCCACCACATCCTCGATGCGCAATGGCGGCGATGATGGCTGGCTTTTGCCATTGCTGGCTGGTTTGTTGCCATTGCCTGCTGGCTTTGTACGCTGGGCGCCGCTCATGATCTGCGGAGGAATAGACTTTGGATTAGAAAGGCAAGGTCACAGTTGTAGTCTTATATCTACATATGTATGTTGTGAAAGCCCTTTATACTGCAATACAAAACACTATAAAATTAAATAAAAATACAAAATTGACGTTGAAAAAAGGGTATGACCTAAATGAAAATTTCTACATATACAAAATTGACAGGCGAAAAATGGTATGACCCTATAAATGATCTATAAATGGAAATCTTATACAGAATTGACAGAAGAAAATTAATATGACCTAAGTTTTGTATGATTTTCGGTGATACTAAGTAAATTCGATCTTGAATATCTTCCTAAATTTTTTTTAAATATTTTTTGCTAGACAATAAATAACTTATAGCCATTATGATTGATGTTGTATGAAAAATCTTTCGAAAACCATTTCTATCGTTATCCCTTATAGAAAATAATATAACAGATGTTGTATGAAAAATGTTACTAAGAGTATTTCTATCGTTAAACAATTATTATAATGAGATCTGAAAGATTAGTCTATTCCGAATAGAATACAAAATTCCTCTTAGGGCCACTTTTTTTTATATTTCCGAGTAGAATAGAATTTCCTCTGAGGTCTATTGTTTTTTAAGATCCTACTTAAATACTTGTGCTACTTCTTGGGTCGTATAATCCCTTTTGCTGTCCACCCACCTCCTTATCACAGTCCGCTGGCTTGGCCGGTCGGTTCTCTTCGTTCGATTGAGTATCGCTTTCAGTTGCTGCTGATATAACGAGTACGGTGGCGTTATCTGTAGTTGTATCGGATGTAGTTGCAGCTATAGCTGTTGATTTCTTTCCACGTTCTCGGCGCTCACGATGCGATTTGGATTTCTTGGATTTGGACAACAACTGCTGCTGGCCGTCGTCCGCTTTGCTCGGGTTCAAATCTGCAACTGGCGGTGAATCCGGTGCTGTAATTGTTGCTGTGGCCGTTGGTGTTGCTGCTGTTGTTGCAACCGCTGCTGCTGTTGCCGCTGTTGTTGCTAGTGCTGTTGTGGTCGGTGGTGTAGTTTGACTGCGTCGTGCCCTTGGCACATAAACCGCGCGATCGGGACGGCGTTCGCGACGGGTCGCCGCTGCTGCTGCTGCTGCCGCTGCTGCTGAGGCGTCCGCCTGTTGCTCTCTGCGAAACAGCAGAGCAAAACACACACGGTAAACAAGAAATGGAAGAGAAGAAAACAAGGTAATCGATTAGTTCACGACAGAATTTCGTCAGTTTCTAAGATACAGATACAGTGTAGCTTCCATGAGTTAAAAACCCATAGTTTAAAAGTTTTGATAAAATTACTAACTTAAAGTTTTATTTTAGGAATTTTGAATCTCTGTATATTTTTTCTGTGATTTTTTTTTAATATATTAACAAATTAATATTGAATTTTTCGTTATAAAACTATAAAAAGGACAAAATAAAATATTTAAAATAAATTTCGACTTTTTTTTAACATTTAAATTAAATACAGAACACTTAAAGTTCCGAAAATTACATTTTTAATCGGAAGAAATACACTTAATTGGAACAATATAGTTAACTGTATAAGCATTTTAGGAAGTTAGCTATTTGTATTCCTTGTGTATCGTTTTATCGTGGTTTCACTGTATTTTACCTACCTGTTCGGGGATTCCTTGGAGGTAGGACTTGCAGAGGTTGCTGATCCTGCAGCTAATGACGTTGTTAATGCTTCGTTTGCTGCAGCTGCTTCCTCGCTGCTGCTGTTGTTGTTGTTATTGCTATGGTTGTTCCTCAAGGCTGGAGGTCTGTATAAATCCACCGAGTTCGATTTGCTTACTGAAACGTAGAGAAGATATTATCCATGAGATACTTTGAAAGAAAGATACCTACAGTAAGATAATTTGATACAAACAGAAATACCATCTGTTAGATGGTTTGAACTATACCAAAATATCTAAAAGATAGAAAGATCGCCAAATGGGAGAGCAGACGATTAGCAACAATAGTTGGCAAATGCACAAAACAAACCGAGAAATAAAATAAAATAGAGACTAAGGTGAAGCAACGGATTCGGCATAAAATAAATTAAAAACAAAATTCACTTATGTCGACCCAATTTTTCATGGCCCGCTTTGTGCCCGATATTCGTGAATGTCAACACGAACTTGGCAGGTGGTGGATCCCAGGCGGAAAAGGGGGAGGGGATTGGGCAGCTACAGTGAGCGTGCGCAGCGGTCGACCAGCTGAGCGTCTAGTCTACAGTCTACCTGTGCGAAGCAGCCAAGTGAAGTGAAGTGAACTGAGCAGCGGGCTGTGATGCAACACCACCAAAAATCCGCTCGAGAAAGAGGGCGACCTTGAATGAACGGTGGTCGACGTCGCTGCCTGCGTCGCTCAGCCGGCATCTGTTTATTTTTAGTTAAATATTTTATTTAATGTACAATCTACTGGAAAGTAATGATTGTTTTTGATTGAAGGGAATATTAATAAATCAATTTTAGGAGATTATCTATAGGAAAATCGAATTAGTTAAGTTTCTTTTTTAATAGATTTCTAAATTTAATAAAATAAAAATTAAATACCTACAATGACTTCGAATTTTTTAAATATAATATTTCGTACTATTAACATTTATAAATAATAGAATCATTTTACAAAATTTGGTTAAATTGACATCCATATTTTAAAAAAACTAACAACATTTATAAGAACTTTCCATTAGATTTTTCTTTTTAGTTGCGCCTTAAAAATAGATTAAAATTTATATTTTCAGACTTTATTTTAAATTTTAAACCTTTTTTTAGAGTATTTCCCAGTTCGTAACGATCTCCGATCCTCATTAATAATTTGATTTCTTTGTTTCGCATATTTTGCGTATTTGCAAACATTTAAATTTATGGCCGCTTGCTAAATTAAACAGCCGAAACGCTTCGCTCCCAAAATATCATTAAAAAAGCAGCGCTTCGCTTTTGTTTATTTGGTTTGTTATAAGGTCTTAGTATTATTTACTCACATGGTGTTTCGCTGATATGCTTCTTAACGCCCATCTTACAGAGCTCCGTTAT